CAGATTAACAATAAGAACAGATTCAACATTTTGTATTTTTACGCAGACTACTATGACATCTCCATTGTATGTAAAATAAGCTAGGTAAACATATACCATTAATACCTTCAACCCAACTCTTACCTTCTGAAGGAATAGCAGTATACTGCTGAGTGTGTACACTAGGGGGGTGCCTACTGGGGTCCACGGTCACCACCATCCCCGTGGGGGCCCCCCTCAGCCCCTGGGTCCCAGTGACTGACACCCCGTGAGCCGCTGCTGCTGCTGCCCCCTGTAGGGTGGCTGCGAGGTTGGGCGTCTGGCTGGGGTCTGGAATGAACACATCATGCAGACATGACTTTTGAGTTGTAAGAAAAAATAAGTAAGGAGAAATGGCTTATGACTAGGAGTCTGGAAGTGTTTTGAGATCAAAAAGTGCCAAAATAAAAAAAAAATAATAATTTTCAATTTTCAATTTCCAATTTAAAAAAAATCACAAGCACTTGGTAAGTATTTGTTGAAAATAAACTCAAATGTGGTTATCAGAAACCTTCCTCCTTCCAGATCTCTGTAGTTCACTAATAACAAACCTGCACCAGCAAGTTGAGGCAATTTTAGCCCTAGACAGGTCTTGGTATAAATATAATCAATGCTTAATTCATGAATGTTACATAAGAGACATGACTTGTGTGATCTTTCAACTAAATCACTTTTTATAAACCATCCACTCAAGAAATATCCCGAAGTATGACATACTAGGTAAACAACTCTCTCTCCATTTAATACTAATTACAGTAAATAATAACTATGACAATTATGAAAATTCTCAGACACAAGCCTAAAATTTTTCGTACCGTTAGCTTACGTTAGCTGAGAATTTTCATATTTATCCAACAACCAAGCTAATGAACCTTTTTGCTCAACTATGACAATTGTTTAATCATCCCTTTGAATCCATAAAACCACTCACATAGACTTGGCCTTAATGAGGGTCCTGTTGATATGGGTGTAAAGCCCTGTGCTGGGCTGGGGTAATACATGAACTGAGGGGGGTGGTACCCCAGCTGCAGGGGACTATACAGGTCATAGGGGCCCGGGGGTGCCACATGGGGGAGCTGGCTGCGGGAGCTGAAATATATAGAAAGATATGGTCATTTTCACAGGTACAGTCCTATCCTTTTAGTTTGACAAATACAGCTGACTGACTACTTATAAAGAAGTAGAGAGATTTTGGATAACTTAATAAAATCTTTTAATTTTGCAAATACTATATGCTTCATAAAATTATTCATTATCTTCTTTTGAATTATTTTCTTTGATACTGACTGAAATCAAAATGAACACTGCATCATTAGAAAATAATTTTATGGCCCCCCAGTGTCCAAGTTAAGCAGAGTCTGCCACATATATCACAAATAAATAAATAAATAAATAAATAAATAAATAAATAAATAAATAAATAAATAAATAAATAAATAAATAAAAACACACTTGTCTTGCTGTCTGCTATCTGTGAGTGACACACTATTCTGTAGACTGATGCCAGTGCTGACAGTGTTAGGAGATCCTCTGTGCGCGTGGGGTATAAATAAACTGCCGCCTGACAGCTGAGCAGTGTTGTCCGACCTGACCTCTGTTTGGTGACCAAGTGTGGGTGGCACGGCCTGGCGCTGTGGATTTACGCGGGCTGAAATAGATGTAAAATGGATGAAAATTATGGACTGTGTATACAGACAAGAATGAGACTGCCATTTACTGAAAATGTCGCAAAATCCAGGGGGCCAACTCGGCCAATGATATTTTCGGCTCTCAAGAAGTCGTAAATCCGCCAATTAAATAGTTGGATCAACAATAGCAGAAACGGAACAACTTTGGTGGTGGTAATGGACTACTGTATATAAAATGTACAAGTACTCACCTATTGGTATTGTAGAAGCTGATGTTGTGGATGTGGTTGTCGTGGCAGCCAGAGAACTGGTGTGACTGTGGATTGACACTTGGAGAGGTGCTAGAAAAGAAGAAAAAATGTCTGAACTGTTTTTCCCCATATTTTTTATTGAAACTTATTACACAATTCAGTCTTCACTCATTTTAACACATTATCAGACAGTTCAGGCATTTACCTAAAACCTCTCAATATGTACAATGCACACAAAATTATGAGATAATATAGCTGCAGCATCTATAATAAGCACCATATTTTAGTCAAACAGTTAATAAGTACAAACCATATCAATTTTCATGTCATTATCAATGATATATTTTGGAAAAATTTAAAAACATTGTGAACTCAGGTGGTGTGACTGTGAACCAAAGTATAGGTGGCACCACTGTACAATACTTACCTGATTTGGTCACAGTGGTCACCATGGATGCTGGCTGCATCATGGGCGCCACCGTCGCCTGGGACAGCACCACTTTGTGTGTGGTGTGCGGGTGCACCATGGCCTGGGACAGGTGCACCGGTTTGTTGTGTTTGGTTGGATGCGCTGCTGCCGCTGCTGCTGCAGCTGACATGTCCACTGCCTGTAGTCTGGCGTTGGGCTGCTGGATGGTGATCTGCACCGTGGTGGTGCTGGTGGTGCTGGTGGTGCTGTGGGGGGTAAAATGAGCTGGTCTGAAGAAATAGGGGGAAAAGTTTTTTTAGAAACTTGCTGAAAACAGATACCATTTAATATATTTCAATAATCTGGAGAAATATAAAAATTAGTTGAGATTTTTGTTTTAGAAACCTTGAGTGGAGCTTGTACAATTTGACAGATATCATAACCTTTTTTAAACATGACAAAGGTGTGTTTTTTTTTTTTTTTTGGTTACACTATATGGATAGCCAGAAATAAGGAAACATTCCCAGCATGACTTACCTACTACCCGTGTCACCAGCAGACACTACTGGTGATGCCGCCCTGGTGGTGGTGGTTGGCGGTGTCCCAGGCCTCACCGGTGTCACCAGTGGTGCATTCATCCTGGCCGCCAGGAGCTGGTTCGGTCCCATGATGCTAGTCGGTGGATTGGGTCGCAGGATGGGGGTGGCTACTGCTCCAGTCTTTGTTGGTGCTGATAGTGCTGAGGCCGCAGCAGTGCCTGGCAAACAAGATGGAAAATGCACATGAAGATGGGATGACTTGTCTCAGATGCATCAACCAGAGTGGGATAAACACAAATATCAACTATTACTAGGAGGGAAACAAGGTCACATGTCCAAGTGCTTTTTTTATCATAAAACATCCAACTGTAAAACTACTAACTACTGTAAGTGGAAATTAAGATCTTCAAAAAGAACTTATTCACTCTGAGAAGGCAGATGGTAAATCTGTCATGTTTAAAAAAACTAAGTAATAAAATATTAATAACAATAATTATAATAATAAATTACTTATAAAAATTATACCCACCTCTTGGTACATGGGACCCAAAGCCAGCAGATGGTGCCACAGGTTTTCCTGTCTTCACCTGAATCTGACTCTGCTGCCCAGGCACGGCTTGGGCATTAGTCACAGAACTACGAATAATAGACGCCATCTGGATCTGAGGATTCTGGGTAATCTGGGCTGCCACAGGATTCAAATTCCCACTTGCAGTAACCGCCACAGTTGAAGATGCTGTATTCTGATTGGCTATTGCTTGTGACAGCCTGCCCCCCTGGGTCTGTTGTGTTTGTTGCGATAGCTGAGATAACTGAGCAACTTGGCTAGGGGGAAGTTGCGCCGTCTGTGCGGGACTGGCACCCGGTGTGACGTTGCGTAGGTTCTGGAGCTGTATAGGGGTTCTTGTGTTCCCAAAGTTTGCGTTCCCTGTCCCAATTGGCTTACCTTCCTGGTTGCCCATAGTACTTGGGCCTGAAAAGGACATACATCTTTTCAATAACATTTCAGGGATTGAGTATCTAAGTGAGTAAGTACAAATTCTTTCCTTAAAAAAAAAAAAAAAGGTCACTGGTCATATTATCCAAATAATACAACCAAAAACAGTAGTTGTTGCCCTTTATCTCAATATATGTATAGTATAGTATAGTATAGTATAGTTTATTGCCAAATCAACTTGACATAGGCATATAACCAGGAAAACAAACATATAAGATTTGTGGTAGGTGGTGGTGGCAACCACTATTAACATATAAGAATACTTAGAGTGGTGGATGGACAGACTATATACATGAGCTTAAACTGTCCCATTACCTCGCACAAGGTTGAGGCTGGCTGCTTTCTGTGCTGCTCCAGTTAACAGCAGGTGGTTGGCAGGTTTACTCTGTGGTAAGTGGGAGGTGGTAGGAGCTGGAGCTATGGGGCGGCTAGGAACCGAGTGCTTGATCTGGGCCTGAAATAATGGTATACGATTCTTCAATACCAAGTCATACTAGTAGTTGTGAAAATGTCCATTTCTTAGGATTTGATAGGGTGACCTGAATACTAGTACGTATGCCAGATCTGGGCCTGAAATATTGTGATTTGTTCAAACCACATGAAGTCATCTGTTAGTATGCAGTTTCAAATAGCATAACTTAAAGAAATATCAAAGGGCATTGTTTTATATATCCCCCCCCCTTCAAACATAATATTTGAATGGATATTTTCTGTGCTGTTATCCTCAGTCTCATTTATTTATTTATGGCATCTCATTTATTGGCCTCACAGCAAAATACATATATTTCAATGCATTTCAAGTTATCTATTATTAACTGCATGGATAATCCAATATAAAAACACTAAATCATTAAAGATTCTACCACTATTTTATATATTTAAACATGGAAAGGAAGAGGAAATCTGACAAGTTTAAGTTGTAACAAGTGGTTCACGTCTTTGTTTTGGGTGTGGTTTCAAACTGGTTTAAATTTCAGGTATGAAATATATATAATTCAAACCTAGAGATGGAAAAAGTTGGCCAAAAATCTTAATACAATACTAAAACCAGCCAGAATATCTGTCATACAAATTTTTTTGCCAAAAAGCAATATCCTGTCTTCTTAGAAAGAGAAATATTTGATTCTGAAAGTTTTTATGCCTCCATAATATTTTTGTTAACCTGGTGGTTGGTCAGAATTCTGGGTTAGCCCTAACACTTGCCAATTTAGCCAAATGCTAAAACTGACTTAAATTGGCTAAACAAAAAGGGCTTGATTTGACACATTTTAGTCAAATTAACACCATTTGGATAACAAATTGACAAAAAAGTGATGATTTGCCTAAGTGAAAAAAATTGCTAGCGCTACCCCAAGAATTATTTAAAGATAATAACAACTGAAAGTTCACATTCACAGCAGATGAATTGATCAGTCACTGAAAAGTCTAAAGTTGATAATTTTCCTTGCAAAAGATGCTGCCAACTTCTGTCAGTGTTTGGTGGCTGGGAGAATACATTCAAATTTCAAGTCAGCAAAAAGTAACCAAACTTAATGAGCATCAACTGATGCACATATGTAGATAGCCAAACAAGACCATACATATGTATGATTTTAATCCAACGTTAACCTACCAAAAAGCCTGTCTTGTGAATGTCCCCCGCTGCTGTCACCTGTGGGTGTTTTACAAAAGAAACTGTCTGTCCCTGTGACGCCTTGCTACTGTCTTGTTTACCGTCTTTTGTTGAGTGGTCGCCGGGTGGGTAACCATGGTTACTCATGATCAGGCATTACAATGGACTGAAAGATAACATGGTTGAGATTATTAAACTGACCAAAACCCTGAGAAAACAATGACACCATCTCTTGTCACTTTTTCTCTCTCTCTAACTTACTCTTGCTCTCTGCATTGCACTTAGCTGAAAATAAGGAGAAAAAATATCTAAAGGAAAACAAAAGATTAGAAGTCGTGAGAATTTTACAGCAATGTAATCATGTTTCTATTCAACATCCAAATCTGAGTAGAAAGTTTACTAAATTATTCTTTCTATAGAAGCACAACCTCTCTCTTTCTCTCTCTCTCTGTTGGTCCACATACAGAACACAAAACATGGATATTTTCAACCTGCCACGACTGTTTTTGTCTTCCAATACATTTCAAGTAAATAAAGAAATAGCACAGATATGTTTTTTTGATGTTCGATAAAAATTGATACGATGATAAATATTCACTGATTTCTATCCACTTAGTTTTACCCATGGTTTTACTATTACATATTTGTGGCTAAGTTTTTATGCAGATTCTAACGCTGTTATCTTTCTGGAGTAAGATGGATTTCTACCACCCTTATTTGGTGTTAAACAAAAATTACTGAAAAGAAAAATTGTAATTTGTCTGTCACAAAAAATAGCTAGGTTTAAATTTATTCTGTGTCTATTTCTTTATTCTGTACCACGTGTAGATTGTTGACCTATTTTCAACGCAGGTTCCGGGGCCCAGTGACGTCACGGGAGTATGTATTTTAATGGCCGTAGCTGACGTTCCAGATGCCTAGATCTCAGTTTCTCCTTCACATTTTAATTTATACTTAAACTGAAATACAGACGTTCATCCATTATAGCAGTAGAGTCACTTTCTAGATCGACATCTAAATCGCGCAAAAATTGTAATCGTCTCCCCTCTGTTTAGGCGGTACGGAACACCGTCAACTTCAATCTCCTTTTACTCAAAAACTCCTCGATCAAAAATCATAAATACCTATTTTCTGGTTCTCTGAGATGTTGCCTGCAAGATACTCACCGATCAAAGTCCGAGTGTAACTGGAACCTAGAGAAAATGCGTCCGAAATTTTGCGGTATATCCCTCGTCTAGCACTTTCAAAAACAAGCACTAGGTTACTGCCGAACGCCGATGCTACGCTGCATGGCATTGGCTTAAACCGGTCACATGGGGTTTCTACTTCCGCTTGTGCAGGCCATTTCCGCTGACCTAATTTAGTGATTATTCCTCCGCATGTGACCTATATATGATATGTGCCAGTAAATACCTTTCAGATGACAAGTTTACCAAATCAAGTACAAAAATAATCTAGAATTACCATGATAAAATTCGTCAGAGATACTTTTGGTTATACAACGTTTGTGATACATTTTGAAACCTGACCCCTGATTTTTTGCTAGAGTGGAAGGATATAGTAGCAGTAGAGCAGTTCCTCGGCACTTCCGTGTACAACATGATACTATGATCACGAGAAGCAGATGTGCTATTTTCAGCATAGATTTTTTCGAAAATCGGCCTCATTTTCTCCAAACATGCCACGAATGTGGAAGGGATATTTAGCCGTGGTCGGGGGAATAATTGTGCACTTATCACTCGGAACTACGTACACTTTTGGTGAGTTTATTTTTGTTATGTGAAGGTGAAACTGTCAGTCACTCACTGGTACAGCTGTGAAGGCAGTACAGACTGGAATGAAGGGAAGTTGAATTCAGCAACCAGTCAGTTGAATATAAACACACCGGATACAGTTTATGTCGTTTCACTGGTGTTATTTTGTTTTCAGCAGAAAAAGTAATAAATAAATTTAAAGATGTTTACTTTTTTGTCATGAAATCCCCTGCAGTCACTGGGGTTTGGAATATACAATTTATGATTATGAAAATGAAAACTCCTACATTGCATAAGAAATAAAAGCTGGTGGTGTTTTTCTTTTGCACTCATATTCTCTTTTTTACTTGCTGAACATGCTATTGCCAGAGCAGAAAAACAGAACTTTAGAAAGTCACTACAGTTGGATTTTTTATTAATTTTAATTTATCTATTTGCCTTTGCCATGGTTTTCTGCATATACAGTAGGCACTATTAACATCAGGTATATTTATTTTAGGGCTTTTATCATTTTTAGGTCTGCATTGGGAAAGATTCACAGTGGTGCAGATTATGTTAACATAGAAAATGTGATCTTGGGATATTTTTCAAAAATGTGAAGTCTTAAATTTTAGAAGGTAAAACATGATATTTTTTCAGGAAACTTGACATCTTACCTCACCTCCTACATAAGGGAATTATCCTACCCACATGATTTGAATTATCAGACTGCAGAATGGATCTTTGCAATGGCTGGCATGGGTCAGGGGATGTCCATGTTTCTTGGTGGGGCAATATTTAGGAAATTTGGTGCTAGAGTGGCAGCTTTTCTAGGGTGTGCTCTAATGAGGTAAGCGGGCCCGTTGCGTTAGTACGAAGGTTCATTGGTCCAAAGTTTGTCAGAGGTGCGTGCATATGATTTTTCAGACCAATAACCCTGCAGACTAATGAGGCTTGGGATTATCAAGGCAAGCTTTTATGTTAATTGCTAAGTTATGTTTTATTTTCAATTTTATATCAAATGTCATGTTTTGAAACCTACCTTTGTTTTGAGTTTTAAATCCAATGTTATTAGATTAGTTTAGAAAGTGTGGTTAGTGTTTATTTTTAAAAGCATATAAGATGTTATAATAAAATATGTATTATTTGGTTTCAGTGGTGGAGTTCTTCTTACTTCTGTGACAATCAAACATTCATTTCTATTAACCTTGCTAACATATGGTATCATGTTTGGACTGGGAGTGGGCATGGCATATGCTCCTTGCTTGGCTAATTCCATGAAGGTAAACAATGAGAAATCATGTGTAGACAATCACAGTATTCGACTAATGGGCAAACAATAAATGTTAAATGCCATCAAAAAATATACATTTTATTTGTCATTTTGTGCAGTGGTTTTCTGATCACAAAGGGTTGGTAATTGGTCTGGTATAGAAGTTGTATTTGGGTGGGGGGGGAAAAACCTAGGTTTTCAGCGGAAACCCGGTTTTTCATGGCGCATTTGCACCCCCACCTTTAATAATTACATATTTCTTTTTAGTTAATTTTAATTGTGTCACTATAATATATTAGCCTTATCGCATAATTAATTTTTTAATTCCATTACAAAACATCCCGGTGACTCCCTTCACCACATAAGTTTTCATGTAATTATTTAACAGAGCAAAAAATGGCCCAATTTCTGTAGTATTATAATATAAATTTTCATCTGGGAATTTATACAAAATGACTTTAAAATAGATTGTCTTATTCCCTGAGGCACAGTTTTGCCTCGATATTCAGTCAGTCCATTACAATACAGTGAATAAAATATAAACAGCAGTCACAAATAATGAATTTCTTTTCAGTGGTTTCCTGATCACAAAGGGTTGGTCAATGGACTGGTGGTGGCAGGGTTTGGAGGAGGAGCATTTATATTCAACCAAGTACAAACAGCCTACATCAACCCTCATAACTTACCAGTAAATAGCGCAAGGTTGGTTTCTGTGGTGGTATTGTACACAGTATTATTTGAAAATATGTGTGACAATTATTTGATGAAAAAAGCAAAACTCATTCAATATTCAATATTGATTTCCAATCATACTTGAATCCAAATACCAAAAAGGGTTAAATTGAAATTATGTTTCACCACCTTCGTCATTTTAATAGAGAAATGTTAAAATAGTTTGGGAAACAACTAATACACAAGCATAAACTAATGAAATTTGATTCAGCAGACAAAATATTGGGTGGTATATAGAAGAAATTTATATTTTAAACTATGGGCAAAATAATTTCTAATCTTTTAAAAATTAGATACAATGAAATGAAAAAAAAGATAAATTGAATGAAATAAAATAAAAAATATATAAACATAAAAGTAGAACATAACACAAATAAAGTAATATAAAAATAATGAGAAAAATCCACAATCAACACTGATAAATACCCTTATACTGACCATATGATTCAACATTTTACTGTTGTATTTCTAGGTATTTTACTGAAAAAAAGCTGCTGGAGCGTGTGCCAAGTTGTTTTTTAGTGCTAGGGGGATCATATGTAGCTATGCAGTTTGTGGGAATCCTCATATTATTTGCTCCCCCTGAGGTGTGTATTAGAATCATAATGTCTTCATTTCCTAAAAAAAGTCTCTCTGTCTTAATATATCCTGTATCCCTGTATCTCATAGTTTTTTAAAAGTTTTCAACTTGTTTGTTGCTGATTTTTGTAATCAATTCTGACATTAAAAATTTGAATTCATTTTAGGCACACTCTCGAAGGGCTTCCATTCAAGAAGATGAAAGTGCTCTGTTACCTGAAGATCGGTCAGATTCTGATGTTGATTACAAAAAGAAAATGTAAGTGACACACATTTATCTACAGGATATTTTCCTACATATATAGTAATGACATGTTAATTATGCCATGTAAGATTATTACATACCCCTAATTTTCAAATATTATTGTTACAATGAAAAGAAAAAAGATTACTCTCCTTGGCAGATGAGTGGTGATTTTTTGACAAATTATTGATTATTTTGTAAAGAATGACAAACTGCTCACAGAGAAGGAGACATTGTTTGGTATTCTACTATTATAAATTATTTCACCATTGTCTTTCTTTTCAATTTAAACACCAACCCTAGGAATCATTGTAATGATCACTTTTACATATTAACCAGTTCAATTTTTAAAATCCATATAGAGTACTTTCAAAGTGTAAATCTGTTGTTCTTGCCTTAAACTCTTTTTCTCTCTGTCAAGTAATTGATATTTAAATGATTATTTTTCCTAAACATTTTTTACTGTGATGTCATATCCCAGAAACATTAAGCAAGGTATAGGAAGTAATTTTTACTTTTTTTATTTTTCAGGGCACCAAACATAGCAAGAGATTACTATCCAAAGCAAATGATTAGGTCCAAATATTTCTATATTCTCTGGTTTATTTTTCTTTTAAATGGACAAGCAGTGATATTTTCCTCTAGTTTATACAAGGTAACTTTTTTACTTTACGTTTATGTTTTTAAAAGCTTGCCGTGGAAGCACATACAAATACAAAGGCACTGGTTTGTTTTGGTCGAATTTGGAGAAAAGAAGTGATGAAAAAGCAGTGATTTGGCTAAGCGAATTAAAAAAAATGCTATTGCTACCTCAGGAATCAGTACCATTTTGTAACAGATTATAATATTATTGTGCAAAATCTTTTTTGATTTCACACTAAGTGTTGAGATTTTTCCAATTGGGATGTTTCCAATTACCATGGATACCTTGACCATTCCAGGCATATGGGCAGACCTTCATCAAAGATGACCAGTTCCTGGCAATAGTGGGTGCCTTTGCAGCAGTCTTCAATGCTGGGGGAAGGATCTTCTGGGGGGTTATTGCTGATAAATTTTCTTTCAAGGTAAGTATACGGTAATTACTTGATTTTTTTCAATGGGGGGGGGGGGGGGATTATGAATTTTACAGATACTGTATTATTAAATGATAATCTATTAAAATGAGAACAGTCCTATTGAGTGGTAGGGACAAAATTAAAATGCACTGTGTAGTTATATTCTGTGCAGTACAAGCACCAGAAATGCAGTAATTTCGAAATTTGATTTTTGTGATTATTAAATTATGTATGACCTGAAACTTCATTGCAACTGTCATGACTTAAATATATAATATTTACTTTCAATTTAAAATTGCACATTTTTTTGCTGGATTCAAGAAGTTATAGGTCTTACAAAAATCCCCAAAGATTCAGATCTTCATGTTTTCCTTCCAGACTGCCATGTTATGTCTATGCACCAGTATGTGTGCCCTGATGATGACCTTCATCATTGCCCCGCTGGGAGGCAAGGTCATGTTTTTCATCTGGGTGTGTCTAATCTTTGGTACCTTCTCTGGAAACTTTTCGCTCTTCCCCACTGCCACAGCCAAGGCATTCGGTGCCAAGCATGTGGCCGTGAACTATGGATTGTTATTCACGTCACAGGTAAAAGAAAATAATTATTTTAAGCCTAGAGGATTGGTTTGTTTAGTTACTAGATATAATGGGAAAAAAAGATTGGGAAGGCAAGACCTGAAGTAAAAATTATGACTACTTATACAGATTATGGATTGTAACTCTGCAAGCAAGTAAATGTGTATTTTAATATTTATTTCCAGCAAATGTATGAAAAAAGATAATAAATCTTCACTGTTATTTGAAAATACATTTTCACATTATATGTTTTTTTTCTTCAATTGACTGTACATTTCAGGTCATTGCTCCTCCTCTTGGGGCCTTCCTTACCCAGCAGCTGCTACATCTTATAGGCTGGTTCTTCATGTTCTGTATTGTAGCCGGGTGCTCTTTTATAAGTAAGTGCTGTTGAGAATTCAGAATCTGGTGTTTTCTTTGTGTTTCACTTGATAAAACCCAGAGCTTTAATTAATACACATCTGTAATGTAATATCATATTTCATTCTCCAAAACAGAAAGACTAAGTTTTCCCAGCCTAGTACACACATGAGGATAGCATTGTAATAAAAATATTTCAGTTGTTAACTATTTAAAAATGCGTGAGTTGGCCATGAGGGTTTGTTCTATTATTCAATTTATATTATAAAGTGTGTGTTCATATTATGTGTTGACATATACTTTATTCTGCATATTTGAAATACTATAGTATCTGCAGTGAAATGAAGTTATCAGTTATAAGTGTATTGAATCATACATTGCACATTTTGAAATTAAAGACAGTTGATATGCAATGTTCTGTTTTGATTAATTTTCTTGATAATTCTTTCTTGCAGGTTTAATCCTGACATTCCTGTTCAATGTGAAGACACGAGAGGGAAAAGACATCTAGATCTCTGTTTAAGAGGGTGTTATAAAGAATTCCATAATTAGAGACACAAGAGGAAAAAGATATCTAGATCTCTGTTCAAGAGGGTGTTATAAAGAATTCCATTATAGAGACAAGAGAGGAAAAGATATCTAGATCTCTGTTTAAGAGGGTGTTTGTAAAGAATTCCATTATAGAGACAAGAGAGGAAAAAGATATCTAGTTCTCTGTTTAAGACGGTGTTATAAAGAATTCCATTATAATGACAGGAGAGGAAAAAGATATCTAGATCTCTCTTCAAGAGGGTGTTTTAAAGAATTCCATTATAGAGACATGGGAGGGGAAAAATTTATAAATCTCTGTTCAAGAGGGTGTTAATTAGACTGAATTCCTTAATAGAGACACAAGAGGAAAAAGATATTTAGATCTCTCTTCAAGAGGGTGTTATAAAAGAATTCCATGGATTTTTCACAACTGGGTATTTACAATATCCAGTCTATCAAAACATTACTGTAGAAGCTTTCTATGCAAAAAAAAAATTGAAATTTTTATGTTACCTTATAACATATCTCAATGAAGAACTTTCATAGTTTAAAAGAAGGCACAGTTATGACAGTAACGTACTGTAATGGATTTGCACAAAAGGTTTACAAATAATTCCTAGTTATAGGATTACAGTGTTTAAGAGAAAGCAGAAAAGTGGACCACAAATAAATAGAACCTGCAATCCCCTTGCTCCACTGAAACCTCTCCACTTGTGCAATTTGAATGTTTATTTTGTGGAGTTTTTTCCAATACCAAGTGTAATATACAGATATCTGTGGGTCTGCAAGTGTGTCTTTTCTCTCTTTTTGGGGAAAAGCAGGGTATGAACCCACTTTTCCATATATAAAATAGGCATGGAGGGTGCAGGTGCCTTGTTACCTACACACATTTGCTCTGATTTGATATATTATATATGCATTGTTATAATATAAATACTGCTGTACATATTTAATATAAAATGCTGTGATTATACTTGTACATATTTATACCAGTATCAACTAAAATCATTAATGGTAGTTGATGCTATGAAAGTTTAATAATATTTTTGCCTTTTTTCTTAGATCTCTTTTGAATTATATTGATATTTAATATGTTAGTATGACTTGGATTTTTATGACTGGAGCAGCATTATGGCTAAAAAGATGCCAAACATGTAAGTTAACATATTGAATTATTACATTGCTTTGTCCAAGATTTTATGATTTATGGATTTTCGTTGTTGAATTTTTGTCCCCAGGTGACAGCACTATACAGGACATCCTCACCACCACAGTGGCAAATTCTCTTAGTTTGAATACAAGAAATAATATTATGATATCTTTTTTCCCTAGACTCTTGTTTTTGCTGGTAAGATTTTTCATTTATTTATTTGATGAAAAGTTGATTTGTCATAATGCTTTTCACCAAATTGTGTCAAATCTTTTGTTTTTTTTTAATGATACACAATAACACTCACGTTGTCACAATTGATTCTGAAAAAATATTCCCTTGAATATATGCACAGCACAAATATTATACTTTACTCTGTTGATGTCAAAATTGTTTACATCAATGACATTCACAGAAAATATTTTAAATTTTTTATTGTGAATTAACATACAATAAGTTGTTTATTCCAGTAAAATGTATCTTGTTAAATAAATATGCTACTTTTTTTTTCTTAGAGAGTTGTATGCTTTGCAATGGAATCTTTCATGATTTTTATATACCAGTACAGATGCTGTGTGTGTCTATTCATGTATTGATAATTGTGTCTGCCCATTCTGTCACCATCTGTAACCCCCCCCCCGTTGCTGCCAAACCATATTTTTGTTGAACTTGAAGTTCTCTGAGTGAACTTGAAATTGAAGTTTTCTGAGTGGGTTGGAATTTTGATGACTTGGAATTGATCTAGGACTTTAGATAGTTACAATTTTGAATGTCCACAGTAGCAGTTGCACATAATTAAAATTGGTTGTAATTATGCCGTTATGCATTAGTTAATGTCGTATCAAAATTGACAGAAAAATATATTTTAAAAATGTCCTTGGTTATACCGCAGTAAATGGATTATTACGTGATTTATTTTATGAAAAATAGGCGACACCTTTCATTTGTTAGCGCCTAAGACAAAAATAAATGATACTAATGTCAATATATATAACCCATTTTTTAGCTGTGTTAACTTAGTAAGTCGAACTTTTTATAACCCGCCCACGGATAGAGCGCTGAGCAGACGTCATCAATTTTTGCGGCTGTGGATTTTGAGATGGCCTTCACCCACGCATGCGCAGTGGCGCTGGAATCTTTCCTCACAGTCCCAAAGGAATCTAAATTTCGTCTGCCATGTACAAGCTTCGTCAAAGCTTTTTTAACAGGAAGAGGTAACGGCATATCTAGATTCCTATAGACTCGTTTAAGTGTTTCAGTCGGCCGCTCTGCTAAGTCTTCGTACCGCGTTTGAAAAACCCGCCCTGGAAACTTCCTCTCCAGCTCTTTTCGCTTTTTGATATCTCGGAACATGGAAAAACACAACGTGTTCGCAGCAGACTCCAGCGGATCGTTTAACCCGAGACTCAGAGCAGACGACAACGAAGCCCGAGGATCGCGTATCAAGTGGATGATTCTTATGCCTGGGTCCTTCTCTAAAAGTTTTTCAGCCACCTCCATGTCCACTCTAATGCTCTTGATAACTCGAACGCTTGCCTTTCGGCATATCTCGTTAAAAACCGGTATGCATTTCCGGGACGGTCTGTCTTTCTTGTCATTACAATACACATAATCTCTCATCTTTCGCATCCGTGCACTGTTTAGATAGAGCGGATGCATTAAAACTGACAGCGACACGCGATCCGGTTTGCAACTAAGCAATCCGGCCAATCCGTCCACTATAATGTCCCGTCTTTGGTCTCGGACGGTGTAATTAAGCTTGACCGTGGATCCATCGAGGAATGATAGGGCTTTGCCAGCTGCCTCTCGATGCGCGAATTCCCACAAAGGCTCAAAGATGTAAGCGACGTTGGGGTTGTGGTTGAAAAGTTCCCCGAAGAAAGAAGATCCTGAACGAAAGTATGCGACAATTAATACGCCGGTGGTTGGTTTTGGTGGTTTGGCGGTGGAGTTCGCAATGTGCCATCCCGCACGAAAATGCAGTAGTATCGAAGTAGCAAAAAAGCATTAACGCAGTAGTGGTGTGGAGCATATTTGCAGTAGAAATGCAGCATAGCCTACTGCAATTCTACTCCAAAAAGTACATAGGTTTGTACAGAGAGAAGCATTAATGCAGTAGATTAGCAGCATGATAGAAGCATGTTTCAAATATGCTAATTAGCTCCCAAATCGAAGCAGATTTGAAGCATGTTTGCAGTATGATTGCAGTAGTCTACTGCGCTGGAGTATCTACTGCGTTTTCTTGCGGGATGCTTCTCCAACATCCATAGATTTCATGCCTTCAGGTAAGACATCTACCTCTTTGAGAGTTTCTGGAAAAGAAAAGAAGTAATATGTGTGAGTTGCATAATGTTGTAATATTATGAGATTATTTCGGCTGTTATTGGTTCATTTTCTCTCTCTCTCTCTCTCTCTCTCTCTCTCTCTCTCTCTCTCTCAAGAAATAATTTAAACCAGATGTGACAGGAACCGTAGTCCTTTCCCCATTACTTAGTGCAGGTGACATTTGTCCCATATACCGGTACCAACCCCAATACTCCGAATAACCCTGAATTGCACTTATCATATGGGATTCCGGACTTCTAATCCTAGGACTGCCATTCCTGTCACACCGGCCGTCCAGCCCGTCTCCAATATCACTATCACTTTTGCATGGGTTAATAAATCTAACTTGAAAAAGGATATGTCTATTAATTATATGGGGCCTACTACTGCAATGCACTTAGATATTCGTGATAATTATATTTTGACCGTTTCAGTCTATTCACCTACACATAACTGATTATAAGTTCCTACCATAATTATGATGTAAGCTATTTATATTTCAATCATTATTCATTTTGATTGGTGATTGGCAAAGGAAAGCAGAACGATTTTTCGATAAAACTAGTCGATAATCTATATCATCTGGCCTCTTAATGAATCAATAAGGGTCGAGATACTAGGTGTATAGGGACAGCGTGTAGTAGTAAGCGCTTTGTATTGCAAAATATTGTTACAAGAATTCTTTATATAATTAAAGTTTTATCTTTTACTCTCGTTCTAGCCTCATCGAATGCACTGGGTATGTGTTCAATAGATGAAATGAAGACCGAGCATTTAAATATGTTGTGCGTTTTAAGCGTACGGTTGTTGTAGGGGTTTATTCTCTATGCTTGTCATAATTTCGAAAGCCTCACAAATCGATCACTCAATAGTTGTATAAGGATTGGTAACGCAAACCACTACAGTAGAGGCATAAATCTCTGCATGTGGCTTCAAAAGCCAATAAAGTCAGTAAAGTGTAACAGTGCGTTAAATGGAAGAGAGAAAAGAATCACATCGAAACATTTCCAAGTAATTATAATTCGCAATCTTCCAGGTGTAACAGTGTAGGCCTACACACATTTGAATTATCCCAAAGGCATATTTATGTATGAATCCATATCCTACAGTGTTCTTTTTCCAAATACATCCATTTAAAGCTATAAAACCAGTGGAATAATTATTTAAACGCATATCGATATTTTCTTCAAAAATGCAAGGCCCGGAAGACGTGATGGCTTTCACTTCTGGCCAGATACTAAATTATTTAATTAGAAATGGTATAAAACAGCGAATAAAAAGAGAATATTTTCTCGTGATATTAGCGCGGTTCTATGCGTACTATGCATTTTATTTATTTATTTATTTATTTATTTATTTATTAATTGTGCTTTTTATGTGTTAATGTTGGCGGGAATGTATTAGGTAATATAGGACGAAAGAGACGAAAAACCTTTATCATTAGCTTCAATAATAATGTAAAAAAAACAACACATAGTCAATACCTGATCGACGCAACAGCAGCACCATTTGCAGCAATGCGATCACCAGCAGTCCAATGATCTTGGAACAATCTCTCTTCCTGGGAGCCATTGGGTTACTTCCATGGGGCAAGGTGCAGCATAGAGGGTTCCAATACACAGCTTCTAGTATTTAAATTCCATGCAACTTACAGTTTTCTCCCAGCGAGGTGTTTCTGTAGACTATCTAGTAGTTAGGATCAGTCATGACTCGCTGGGTTGGTTATTTTATCCTGGGAATCGCATGTAGTGTACAAAACTTGGGGTAAAAGTTCCCGATAGCGGGTTCGTTGAAGTTATCGTTTGGTGACGTTACTTAATGACGTCAAAACTGTTTAAATACTAATCTGTGTCTGGAAGGGCCTTCATGGCTTCCTAGTAGCATCTAGCTCCAAAATACCATTTACGATGAGAATCCTGCACAGCGCCCTCGTCTGGTCACCCAAAAGCTATAATTTTTATTTGACTTACATGATTGTATTCGCCCACAACGATCAAGTCTTCATGTAGAGTTCAATATCGATAGGAAAGCACCGATCGATATAGTTAATGATTGTTATAACGCGAACGCACCTGTCATCTGAGATGTTTGTTCACAGTAAAGATTTTGAATCGATCGGAGGCGACCAAAATGTAAATTGTTACGTAAAGGACGATCCCAGCAGGCTTTGCGAAAAGTTCTTTCAGCAGCAGCGGAATGCAATCAAACAATTGGTTTTGTTTCCAAAAAACAAATCAAAAATTTATTGCTGTTACATAACATGACTTAAACAGTTGTGTTTTCACTTTCTTTTAACTTTAAGGTACATGCACGTCCCCTCTTTCAAAACAGTAGGCGTATATGAATAACGAGCACAAAGAAACAGAATCAAACAATATTTCCAAGCTGTGCAGTGCATATATAACAGTACAATAGCCGGAGGGGGGGGGTCCGAACAAAATGCCATTTTTTTGTGGACAAAGGTCAGCTCTAGGTAAAAAGTGTTCCAGGTGCACGAAGGTTTCATGGTAAAAGGTCCACGTTTTCAAAAAAAGAACCACCCTTGTGAAATTGCTGGCTACGTACGAGCCGGATCTGTCTCCGTTCGCTCGGCAATATTTTCATCACTGTACCACCCTCACCTCCACACAACCCCTCTTTAGCTAAAACAGCACACGAACAGCATGTACAATAATGATCACTGTGCCTGCTGAATAATACACCTTCATGTTACAGACAATATAAATAAATTTTACCACTACATAACAATGTGTGTTTCCACAAAATATTGAAAACATTCCAATTGATGGGGAATTATGGTAGCGTAGTTAACAAAATCAAGGAAAAATGTCATAGGATATATCTAAAGTAAATGAAATTAAAAGTATCAAATTTTAAAATTCATATTTTAAAATGAATCTTCAAATTTGATACTTAATAAAAATACTCAATATTTCAATACTTAAAAGTGAGTACTTATGTCAAATTATTATCGCGTAATCCAACCAAATGCTACCATTAAGTCTGAAAGAGGATAACAGAAAAATGTATCACAAATTTTCTCACGTCAGGAAATTAAATGACAGTGAAGTTTACAAAATCGAAGAAAAATGAAATACGATCAATCTACCGTAACTGAAAACTAAGTTTCAAGGTCTAGACACCTTAAAATCAAGCAATACTCTCAGAACATTTCTCTTCCATTTTTAAATAATAAATAAATATATCTATATTCGTTAAGTGTACGTATTTAGGAGAGGGCTTTCTGCAAATGAAAGCAGCAACAAAACAACAACAACAACAACATAATAATAATAATAATAATAATAATAATAATAATAATAATAATAAAATCCCAAGTCAAACTAAGACCATACGATGTAAACATTTTACGGACGTTATCTCTATATATGGTATGCGCCAAAATTCTGCATGGATACGAAACCGAAACTCCGTCTTCCCAATCTAACGAACACATGCGTATTAAAAAGAAAATTAATACATTAATAAAATAGGGGGAATTAACACATTCTATTTATATCCGCCATTAGTTTCTTTGGTAAACTCTTCTCTCTCTCCCTGCCCCCCCCCCCCCCAAAAAAAGTTTTTATGTTGTGCCCTGCACATCTCCTTCTTCATGCTTTTTCTGTCGGCAATCAAGTCATCATTTATTGTGCCCCCCCCCCCCC